AAAAAAAGTAAAGCGATTCACTCTAGACATCTAAAAACATGTTTTACTATTAATATATATATATATATATATATATATAAGTGATATGTAATCCCAATCACTATACTGATCACTAATTTTTTTTTAAAAAATTCACATATAAAATTTGATATACATCTATACATAGTTTTGATTTACATAGTTGACCGCACACCCCATTGTACCGTGTTATACTTTGTGAGGCAACTGTACGTGCATACATATTACAGTTTATAATTTAATCAAGATCAAGATGGATGTAAAAGTATAAATATGATATTATATATGGATAAATTTGTTAAAGAAAGTACTTTCTCATTCAAGCAATCGTATTAAAACTTGGACTAAAGTGTAAATTAAAAGCACACCCAATCTGAAATCCGGCATTAAAAAAAAAAATAATAAATAGCCTTGAACAGAACAAACCAACCATTTTTTAATTTACTTGAAAATATTGACATACAAATTAGAAATCACTGAAATTTTTTCTTAAAGCTAACATCTTTAATAAATATGGTGTCATTATTCAAAGAAAAGAAATGTGACGTGCTGATTTGTGGTGCAGGTAAAAAAAAAAAGCGATTTAAATTAAATAAAAATTGGTCATGAAATTTTCTAATATCGCTAATTTTATTTATTTATTTATTTTGATCAAAAGGTCCCGTTGGCCTATTCCTGGCAAATGAATTGGCCAATTTTGAAATTAATTTCCGTATCATTGATAAGACCAAAAAGAAACCGGATTTTTCAAAGGCTCTTTTGTTAGCACCTAGAACCTTGGAAATTTTAAATAACAGGTAATTTCATATTCGTTTTGTCCGTTCTTTAAATTCAAACAAAATGTTTGTTTATTCATATTTTTCTTATTTCTTTTAGAGATCTTATCGATACATTTTTGGAACATGGTAACAGAATAAAACATTTCAATGTATACCAAAACACTAGCAACACTAGCGACCCGCTTAAGATCGATTTGACCAATATGAACACCACCTGTCCCTTTGGAGTAATTAACCGTCAAAATAAGACCGAAGAATATTTAATTGATGCTCTACACAAAAAGAAATCGATGGGAAAAAAAAATGTTCCTAATGTTGAATTCGGCATGGAACTATTGAGCTACAAAGAGGAGGAAAATCATATTATTGCTGTTGTAAAGAATTTAAATAACAACATAGAAGAAGAAATTCATTGTCAGTATTTAGTAGGGTGTGATGGTGTACATTCCAATGTCAGAAAAGGAGCAAACGGCTGGACTTATGAAGGTGAGATTAAATATATAAGTAGTTAATTTAAATTAATTTTGATATATCATCTAAATATTTTTTTCTCTAGGGCAAACACTGAAATCCTCGTGGGCCTTAGCTGACGTAATGATTGATCATGAATTGGTTAATTACGATCATGTAACCGGTTTCACAGTTGGAGAAGGTATTATTATTATTATAATATTTTGCTATTTTAATACTGTATGTTGCTTTTTCATTAAATGTATATTTCTATAAAATATGCTATATTACATTATTAGGACCTATTATATTGTTTCCGTTGGATGCTAGAAAAAATACAGTCCGTGTCTTTATGAAAGTTGCTGATGAAGAGGACAAACATGAAAATAACGACAGTATTACACATGGGCTCACAAATGAAACGCACATAACTCTTGATGAGATGCAGAAAATCATTGATGATAGAATTGCTCCAATTAAATTAGAGCTAAAGAATCCAGTATGGATTTCCAATTTTAGGATTAATGAAAGGATTGTAAACAGATATCGAACGGGGCGTGCTTTTGTCGCTGGAGGTAAATAAATTTTTACTTTTCACATGTCCTTACTATAATAATTATCAATAATAATATATATTATCATTATTGTTTATCAAAAAAGATGCTGCTCATTGTCATTCGCCAGTAGGAGGTCAAGGCATGAATTTAGGAATTCAGGACGCTCATAACTTAGCATTCAAATTAGTTCTAGCTATTCGAAATCAGGCAGTTGACATTAATAAACTTCTTGATAGTTATGAACAAGAACGATATCCCGTTGGCAAAAATATTGTTTCAAGTACCAGCTTTGCTACGAAACTTTTAAGTAACACTGACATGGTTAATAAATTCCTCCGAACGCGCATAGCTCCTTTCATTATTCATTTCTTTCCTCAAGCTGCACTTAATACCCAAAGTAATTTATTCCAAATAGAACTTAACTACTCGTCTGAGGCATCAGGGATTCTTCACAATCACTCAAGCACAGAAAACAAATTGATTAAAGCAGGTCATTTCGCATTAGACGGACTACTAATGAAAGTAATTCCCCACAAAATTCATGATCGCTTAACTTTATATGATATCTTACGTTCAACGGCAGTAAAACACACTTTAATATTGTTTACTCTAAGCAATGGAGTCACTGCTGATAATAATCCACTTATTGATACACTGTTGAATATCTACACTACTTATAAAACCACTATCACACCTATTATTATTTCATTTCAAGGTGTCGTCCAGATCGCAGATGTACCATTCATGCCATTCCTAGAAGAAGGCAGAGAACAGCATATATTTGTTGAAAACAGATTTGAATTGCACGAAAAATATGGCATTACTAAGGAGAACGGGAAACAGGCTTTCGTACTTGTTCGACCTGATTTATACATTGCTAGTGCAGTGTTTGAAGATGATGTTGATGAATTAAAAGCATTTTTAGATGGTTATTTGGTCAAGGCAGATAGATAGTCATAAATTTACAAGTCTTTTTTAATATGAATTGATTTTTATTTTAAAATCCGACTTCAATTTTTTATTTTTTCCTTTATCATAACTCTATCCTCTAAAGTCATGCAATCCAGATTATTTACTTGAATTAGTAGTTAAACTTTATATTACATTATAGTTAGTTTCACTTTGTATCTTTTCTAAGATTATTTAATAAAGAATTTATTTGTTTTTGTATTTTTACCAAATAAGCATCCATTAAAAAGATATTTTAATATTTATGCATTTTTATTATAATTCAATTCTAATTGACACTGCTAGTTTGATCTGTAAAATTCTTTAAAAGAACCCTTTATCGTACATATTGCTTGCAGATTTAGAAGAAACTGTACAATATGCAGATATGTTTTTGTTACATCTTTTATATTAATTCTCAGATGGCGATATTAATTAAAAGCAACATAATTGAAAACTATATCTCTAGCATATAAACAGATATATTAACATATGTTTGTTTTTTTTTTTATTCCCAAAAAAGCATTTCTAACCTGTGATACAGAAATTTTATCAAAAAAAAGTTTTTCTTATAGTCTAACATTAACATTAATACGAAATAAGAACAAACTTAGCACTCACCCTAATCAAAATATGATAAAGCTATATAAGTAAATCACAACAAATACGTACGTTGAGAAAGTGATGACTAATAGGTTTAGGACGAAAACTAATCAACTAACTAATCTACATCACGAAAATAATGAATTAACTGTCTCAAGACTTGAGGTGGAAGGCAGAAAGAAAGCGTGGAGAGACTTGGTCCAACTTTCGGGTCTTGCTGCAGTGAGAAACAAGTGTCTTATTTAAGTTCTGCTTATTTGCGTTAGTTGAAAGGCTTTAATTGGATATTAAAGAGAACTCTTCTTTTCAAATTTAAAACGACGGGGATTCAATATTTGACTTCAATCGTGAACTTGGTTCACGATATCACGTGTTACGTCTAGTGTTGTGCATTATGTGTATGGGAATATTTCGGAGTTTTCGGAATATTTCGGAACCTCATGATTCTGGTCCGCATTAGCAGCGGTCAGAATTTCATAATGCGTGCCAAAATTTCACGCGAATGAAATTTGAAAAACTCAACTCTAGTTTCGTCACGGGTAAGAGGGAATCGGATTTACAATTTACGTATGTACTATGTCACGAGGTAATTATGTAGTGTGTGACCGGATAATGATATATCCGGAGATAATCTTGTAATATTTAAGCAAAGCGAATATTCCAATAAAAGTTAGATAAGAATAAACAGATAATAAACCACGGAGTGTCGACGCGACGCTGCGCAGCTGTAAAGGCGGCGAGTTGGTGGAGTGTGGGACGATGTTGCGTAGCTGTAAAGATGATGAATTGGTAGAGTGCGGTCGACGCTGCATAGCTGTGAAGATGAATTAGCGGCGTAGCTGTAAAGATGATGCAAAGCGACGTACGCTCTCCTTGCTAATATTAGCAAGTTCATGTGGTACTATACATTTCATTCGTCATACTTATTCGCATGCTGTAGATGATAAAGATTAGACTGCATTGAAAATCACAAGAGGGTAACTTACATTAAATAAGCATTAATCATAGGCCTTGGGCAATTTTTTCTTATTTCCATTATTTAAACAAATAATCAACTGTAAGGATGATTATATTAGCATAGATGATTTGTTGTTCCCGATGCCATTCCCACTCTCTTAGTCGATCATAATAGAGATTATATCTCTTCATTAAATATGAAGATACAAGTATCTTATAATGGAATAGATTGGGTATGGTGTTTACACTTCGTTTTCGTAAACAGTCACACGATTTGTCACGCAGATCACAGGGGTAAATTTTTTACTATGAAATTTGAGTGATCTACATCCATATGATCGATCCATTTTTCATAGTAAATTGCAACGGCAGGCCCTCTTCAAATAGCTTTTTCAGGGGTTTTCTAAAAGGAAACCATATTTGTGCGACAAGGTACAGCAGTTTAGCTTCGTAAGTACTTTACAATTTTTAAAGTTTAGT